ACTAGGGAGAATACTTCATAGTAATAGGTGTCACCCTCTTAAAATAAAGGTTATTATCATTATTATTGATGTCCCATAGCCTTTCCGTGATATTTACTCCTTTAGCGTTTTCGTCGATAATTCCGTCTCTAGTTCGTTCAGAAGTTTGGTAATGTTTGTCTTGAGGATTGTTTTTTTCCGTCATTAACTCGTCAATTCCCCCCTCCCCCCCCCCATAATTCCTCCAGTTTTCCAGATAGACTTCCCGCAAAAGGTTTCTAAGTTCGAACAGATCCCCTGCAAATATAAGAGATGTGGTTCTGACTACAATCCAATTATTACACTAGTGCGATTATCCGGCTTTCAAAGGACCAAAATGTTGATTCTGTTCAAACTATGTGTTCATTTCAAAAGCTAACGTTTATCGAGTCCAATTCTACAGATATTGTGTCCTCAAAAACAAATCACATGATCAAGTCACATGATAACTTGAAGTTATTTGTAAGGCATTGAAATTGTCTTTAAGAAGATGAATTAATACCTCGAACCAGTGTGAAAAATAATCATATTTGAAGAGTTCCAAATTTGTTGCATTGATCTCTGCTTCGCCTCTCGCTCAGACAAGATACGAACTCTTGTTCCTCTGGCATTGCTTGTAACGTTGGCCACGCGGCAGTGAAGCATAGTGTTCTATCGACCTTTAGTCTTGTTTCATCCACATATAAAAATTAACCCGTTGTTTATTCGTCAATCTGCGGATTCTAATGCAAAGACAACGCAACGTAAAATGAGAACTCAAAAGTGAACGGAAAGGACTGAACGCTGACTGATGGTGTTAAATTTGCGCGCTCCTGCTATTGGTCATGAATAATAAAAGGATGTTTTTTTATTATTCATGAGTTGGTCAAGCCATTCTCGACCCCAGTACTTACGCGTCTGACTCCGCACTTCCCTCCCTGGCCGTCATGCGTAGAAGAGCTCTGGGGTCAAGATAGTGGTCAAACCGGATTTTAGATCTCTGCATGAGTCGAGATTGTCGTCGGGTTGTCTTTCCTAAATCTGCCTAATTTCGCAAAGCCCTACTTTACCTCGGAGTTAGTATCGTAGTGTACCCCAAAAACCTAACGTTACTGTAATGAGTGGGTCTTACAAGCTCGCAACATGCTTACCTCTTTGTAAAATTCTCGTATTCAAAACATTTGCACCTTATTACATGCCATTTTGGCGACACTTTATTAATTTAGCGAAAATCGTTAAATTAATATGCACCAAAATTGACCACTACCAGGCTCCTGCCACAACAGAAAATACCATAACATACCATAGTTCTCCATGTTGTCACCCCAAAATTTTGCATAAGCATTGTTTTCAGTTTCTCCTGGGGCCATTTTAACCCCCAAGAGAAACTAAAGACAACGCCTGTGCAAAATTTTGGGGTGACGAACCACAGGTAGCCCAAGCTCGAAATATGAGCATCGGCATTGTTGCGTAACATTCAAAACATAAGGATTTGTACGGGAAAAAACCTATCGTTTCTGTAACCTACGAAAATGAAAGTATTTCAATAAAAACAGCTTACCTTACTTAAAATATGTGTTACGTCTCTCCTGTGTGGTCCACGGGCCGATTTTTGGCCGTTTTATGGGTTTTTATGTAAACGGTTTTCTCTCTATATATGTAAACCTTTATATCAGAGAGAAAACCGATATGATACTCCTTTGCGTTACGCAGTGACATTCTGTGGAGCAGTTGTTTTGAAAGTTATGGGCCAAAAGACACTCGTTAATCGCAGATGTGGTTATAAGGTGCGTTTAACTGTGTATATATAAACACTTGGAGGTTTTCCAGACACGAGTTCACAAATCTTTGATTTATATTGGAAACCTTGCCAGACTCTCTTTCCCTCTCTTTGCCCGGAATAAGACTCAGCCCCAAACAAGGAAGACGAGTGAACAACGGCTAGCTTATCACTAGCAGATAGATGGACAATTACATGAATTCACCGACAATCAAATACTGTGCTGACTTTTCCCCTGCTCACAGATGTCCTTGCCTTATAAATGCGCGAGCGTGAATCGATCAAACATCCTTTTAATTTCTAAGGCTTACTTTCCGGTAAATAAAATGAACTGAATGTAGAAAGTGAAAGAGAAATAGCGAAAAGTTCAACTTCTAATTAAATCTTTTCGTATGGTTTAGAATAAATTATTCTCGAAACTGAGAATGTTTTGATCAAAGCTGTGTAAATCGAGCTGAAACTGTGCATGGAACCTTGCGTTTCCTGTATTTATCTCACCTATTGTATAGAATATGTGTGAAAATCTTCATTATGAATCGGTATATTTCTAAGAGCTACACAACCAGCAAGAATACTATTGAACGACAATATACAGAACGGGGGCAGCTGTAGTGTCAACTATTACTAGTATTAACTGATGTGTTTTGAAGGTTGTCTTGGCTTTTCACTTATAAAATTTCGGAATATTTTCAGATATAAGCAGGTTGTAAGGTACTTTAATGTCTAGAAAGAGCGTTTTTTGAAGTGGTTTTTGAAGTTTAGAAATTCTCTAGGAGCCGGAATTCCGTGGAGATCAGCTGAAGCATGCTGAAATAGTGAGTTTTGAAATGCCTTGAAACTCTTTGAAGGTTAAGATCTCAAGCGCAGATCTAGGATAAATACTGGCCGATTTCCTAAACGAGTGCCAAAGGCGTAAGCTTCCGGAGGGGTCCGGGGACGGGCTCCCCCGGGAAAGGTTTTGGATTTTAACTCCTTAAAGTCCCCTTTCCTGGTGGGGTTTCCGAGTTATTCAGTCAGGATATTGGCCTGATTTCAACTTGGAAAGTGTTTTTTATTATTAAAAATATATTTATTATGAAAAATCTGACCGATATCCGTAAAACGGTGGAAGCCGGTGTGGATGCGCGCCTACCTGAATCTTAAACTGCATTTTTGACGGTTGACGGTTAATTTTTAGGCCCTTTGACGGCTGACAATTTATCCCACTGAGACCCTCATTAACTAACTTATGTTCCAAAATTTACGAAAAATCGCTGAATTCAAGTGCTACCAAATAAGGATTTTCACAATCGCTAAATTAACGTGTCGCCAATTTCATGCAATAAATTATGTTTCTCGGCAGTTTTTGGATATGAAAGAGAAGAAAGAATGTTTTTTCTTGCAGATGATTCATGAAACAGTAGTCGTCATCCTTTGAGTGGTATTTTATCTTATTACTATTCTTGAAGGCGGTAGATTCGGCTATTTCACCTTCGCATAAAATTATTAAACGTGTGAAATCTTATCGCAATTTTTTCCAGTTCCGCTCTGCCAAAACAGTGGAGTCACCGCGTTGTGCGTCCCTCTTTCTGTCGTCAATTGTATCAAAATCGCAAAAATCGCTCAGATTTGGTCAACGCTAGCTTAAGCAACGACGACGGTGACGGCAGCGAGAACGGCAAAAAAGCAGTAGGTTTGGATTAGCAAAACAACAACTTTGCACTTGCATTACGCTTTTTGGTAAATTTCTTTGACGTCGTTTCACGACTACAATGTGCATGAAACTCCCTAATTTCACGTTTGTTGAGGACGGGAACACAAGACAATAACTTTCTTTTTCTTTTTCTGAACTTTGCTACAGTCTTTTAGAATTCGACTCCAAAAAAGTTTGCCAACATTTGACGAATTAGGCAAACTGGAATAAGCGCGATTAAATTTGAGGCAGCGCAAATTCACTTTTTAAGGGACGTTTTCGTAGCCGTTGCCGTCGTTGTTGCTTAAGCTCCCTTATTTAAACCAATGAGAAACGGAGAAATATTTTGAAGGAATAATGAAATTTTAGACCAGATACCTACTCTAACACTTTGCTTTGTTTAACGGAAGTATAATGACTTACTATTTTCAGTCTTTCCAAGGAGGAAAAGGTAAACATGGGCAACCCGAAACAACTTCCTTAAAAGATTGCTCTTGCAGTTATCACCTTGGAATTAACGCTCTCAAACTCGGTGATTTTAAAACATCCCTACATTACTTTGAGTTGGTATTGCATATAGCCAAAGAGATCAGAAACAAAAGGTTAGAAGGAGCTGTATATAACTACCTTGGCGGTGCCTATGACTCTCTCGGTGACGTCAAGAAAGTAATCGGGTTTTTTCATCTGAGTCTGCCTATCGTAAAAGAGACTGGAAACAAAGGCTTAGAAGGAACTGTATCTAACAACCTCGGCAGTGCCTATGACTCTCTCGGTGATGTCGAGAAAGCAATCGGGTTTTTTCATCTGAGTCTGCCTATCGCAAAAGAGACTGGAGACAAACGCTTAGAAGGAACTGTATCTAACAACCTCGGCAGTGCCTATAAGTATCTCGGTGATATCAAGAAAGCAATCGAGTTTCTTCGTCTGAGTCTGCCTATCGCAGAAGAGACTGGAAACAAACACTTAGAAGGAGCTGTATATAACAGCCTCGGCCTTGCCTTTAACTTTCTCGGTGATGTCAAGAAAGCAATAGGGTTTTTTCATCTGAGTCTGCCTATCGCAGAAGAGACTGGAAACAAAGAATCAGAAGGAAGTGCATATAACAACCTTGGCATTGCCCATCGCTATCTCGGTGATTTCAAGAAAGCATCCGACTTTTATAAGCGGAGTCTACGTATCGCAAAAGAAAGTAGAGGAAAAAGTTTAGAAGGAACTGTATATAAAAACCTTGGTCATTTGTCTCAATCTCATGGTGATTTTGAGGGAGCAATTGACTCTTTTGAGCTGAGCCTGCGAATCGCAAAAGCGACTGGAAACAAATATATAGAAGGAAGTGTATATAGTAACCTTGGCAGTGCGTATTACTGTCTCGGTGATGTCAAGGAAGCAGTCCAGTTTGGTCAGCTGAGCCTTAGTATCGCAAAAGAAACTGGACATAAAAATATAGAACAAAGTGCATATGGAGTCGTTGCTCATGGAAATTTTTATAGACTTTACGATCTTTGTAAAGCCGAGGAGTTCGCTAAATCCAGTATAAAGCTGTTCGAGGAAATGAGGGTTCTCCTTCGAGAAAAAGACGAGTGGAAAATCAGCTTTCAGAATAAAGGTGGTGATCACGATAGATATCGTTTTTTAAGGAGAATTCAATTGCGACAAGGCAAGACCCTTGAAGCACTTTTTACAGCTGAGGCGGGACGAGCACAAGCTCTCATGGATCTCATGAAATCGCAATATGGTGTCAGAAAATCAGTTCAATTGTCGTCAAAACCACAGATGGAACTGATGATGTCTAGTATTTCAAAACATATTTCGTCTCCTAAGCTATTTCTAGCAGAGGATTCAAAATCAGTGAATTTCTGGTTACTACTGAAGGGACAGCATCTTTGGTTTGCGCAAAAGATAATCAGTCATGACTTGACATCAGTGATTAAACAAACATACAAAAAGATTGGTGTGAGAGGCGTGAATCACACCCTGGATGAGCCAAAAGATGAGGAGGAATGTGCTCTTAAAGGATTGTGTGACGCGTTTATCGCTCCAATTTCACACCTGATAGATGGTGATGAACTCATTATTGTCCCTGACGGTTCATCATTTTTGATTCCTTTTTCTGCCCTTGTGGATCAGCATTCTAGATATTTTTCTGAAACGGTGAGAATCCGATTGGTTCGATCGTTAACAAGCTTGCTACTGCTAAAAGAGTGTCCAGAGAGCCGCCATAGTACATCTGGTGCACTGCTGGTTGGTAATCCATGGGTGGAAACTGTACGCATCAAAGGCTGTAAACCATTTCCACAGCTTCCAGGTGCTGAGGAAGAGGTAAAAATGATTGGAGAGATTCTAAATATCGAGCCTCTCACCGGTAAGAACGCTACAAAAGATCAAGTCTTAACCAGGCTCAACTCAGTTTCTTTAGTACACATTGCAGCTCATGGTTGTCCAGAAACAGGAGAAATCATACTATCTCCAAATCTTGCTAGTTCGGACAAACCCGGAGAGAAAGACTTTCTTTTGACTATGGCAGAAGTGCTGGATGCACAACTGGGAGCCAAGCTTGTTGTCTTAAGCTGCTGCTACAGTGCACGAGGGGAGATAAACGCAGAAGGCGTGGTTGGAATTACACGTGCCTTTTTAGGAGTCGGGGCACGTTCTGTTGTTGCGTCTCTGTGGGAGATTAGTGACGAAGCCACTCGAGAGACACTTTTACGAACATTTGCTTGCAGGGAAAAGTGCAAGTAGGTCGCTTCATCACGCAATGAAATCGCTACGGGAGTCTGAAGAGTTCAATGACGTGAAGTACTGGGCGCCATTTGTGCTGATTGGCAATGACGTGACTTTGAACTTTGGCCAAGAAAAGGTAAGGCCCCCTCTGTAAGCAAAGATAGAAAAAATGATCACGTGTTCAAGGGTTGCGAAACGAACAGCCTCGTTTTAACTTTTGAATCTTAAATTTGTAGCCTCCGATCGTTGAATTAGAGAGGAAGCCATTTTTTCCCAAAGTACAGTTAAGCAAGGAACAACACCATAGTAAAATGATGGACATGAATTTCTTTCAATCGGTGCATTCAAAAAATGACTTACGGTTTTACAAATGAATGCGCCTGCACGATGAATACGTTTTTGTATGTACGGCATGCTCTCTAAAACTCTGACCTATTTCAGACCAAATAACCGGAATTTTCCCACCCCTATTTTAGACCTAAAACACTTACCCAGACCCTGGCTCCAGTAAACAAAAAACCATCTGCTATTTCAGACCCAAAATTTATACCCTGCAGTTTCACACCTGAAAGATAAAAAATAGCTTGTATTAGGGAAAACCTCCATTTCGGCATATGGAAACTACTCTGCATAAAAATGGTAGAAGTTAACTTGCCTGTTGCTGTCTTTAATCTTCTGCAGAGCCAACAAAAGGAATAGATGGATTTCTAATATGTGGAATCCCTTTCACGAGCCAGTATCTCCAGCCTTCGCTTTGGCTGTAACAGAATAAAGCTGTCACGGTACTCACCGTCGTTAATTGATTTATTCACAGCGAAGAGAGGTAGTCTACGAGTATGGTCCCTTGTTTTCCTCAGGAATAGTAGAGCGAATAGAATACACGAGCGCGAGTGAAAATTACCACCCGCGAGCTTAGCGACTTCCCTCCACGTGTCATCTCCGCGTGGGTAGCAATTTATGGCGCGCACTCGGGTAGTTTGCCCTCTCTACCATCCCCTATGGAAAACAAAGGACTACATGTTGTCTCTAAGAACATTCCAAACATTAATCAGTTAGAAATCAAGAAACACGAAACGGCTTCAAGCACTGCATGACATCATTGACTTTTTGGCCCAACAAGACGAAGAAACAAGAGTGCAAGAGCTTCTGGGAAGAGGTTACAGTCATTATCGGACGGACCATCTAAGACTTCAAGTGATGACTTGTGTTTGCGTAAATTTACATTAAAATACTGAAAGATAAGTATTATATACCGTAACATTTAGTTCTACATGTTTACAGAAATGGTGATTAACCGCTCAAATATGACTACACCAATAACAGCAAAAAGTTTGCTATGTTTGCATGACTATTAAAAAACCTATGACAGTATAAATAGCAAAAGTTTAATTTGTTTAATTAGTTACAAAAACTTACGACAAAAACAAATGAAAAGCAACACTCATTCCTTAATTTCAACCATTCATAGGTCAAGAGTAGTTTGATTCTGGAAACAAGTTTGTTTCTCAATTCAATACATGATGAGATAAATGAAATCAATTGAATGCTTATAAAATATTAAGTAAACTTCATTAGATCTTTTAGTAGTCTTAGAAATGAAAGTTTTTAGGTTTCTTAATTTAGAAAAGACTGACTTTCTATCAACAAACTGAATAGCTTGGAAATCTATTATGGCATAAGTGAAAAACTTTAATTTTGTTACAATTACAGACACTGCAGATTAATCTTAACATTCTCAGAATTTCAGAACTTTATTAATTATTTAATTGATTATAACTTTTATTACGAACTATATTTCTCTTTTTACTTGTTTCACCAGTGCGTTCCTAATTTTATAAAAAGGTTCGTTCTTCCAGTTGAATCAACCAGGCAAGACTAAGGGAACTGTAACATATTTTTCATTTGACTATATAATAAAAGTTACATTTTTGACAATTATGAAGGACATGAACGGTTTTGTAGCTTTGGTTTCATTATGTTTTTTATTTACATGAATGATCAAAGGGAATTTGCAAAGTTCAGCTCTTCACTCAACATTGGATGCCTTGTTATGGATTCTAAATAGAGTTTATGAATTATAAATGAGACATTTTTCGTCACTTGCGGAGCTGTCGAAATCTGATTTCACAAAAGCACCCTAAACTTCATTATCGCTGGTTAAAATCGGTGACATCGTGTCAAACTTTGGACATGCAAGAGCAGGTTTCAGTTTTAACGCGTGAAGGTGATTTTTGTAGACTGTGTTTAAGGGAAAGTGTAAAATTGTTTGAAGACGATATGAAAAACCCTAGGTAAGAGAATCTTGCTTGGACCTTGTTTATCAATTCATTGCCCGTGGGACAACATAATCACATCGTTTTATGCATCTTTGAAAACTTCTTATCTTATAATCTTGTTTTTCTTGGGGTTTATTTTAAGCGTCCAGCAGGAGTGACAATCTGAAGATGATTTGTTTGGGCATATTTTAGCCTGCGTGGCACGCGCTTGGAAGTAGTGGGCGCAAAAGAGAACGGGCGCGCGAGAGGGAGACACGCGAGTCTCCCACTCGCGCGCCCGTTTTTTCTTGCGCCCACTACTTCCATCCAAGCGCCTGCTACGCAGACTAGGCGTATTTCGAAATTTTGCAATTCAAACTTTGATGGTGATAATATGATAAAGTCACCGGCCTAAAAAAAGAGAGTTGTGTCCGGTGCCATTTAATAGCACAAAATGGATCAGATGAAGTATTGTAATCTTAAGAGTCGATAAAAGAGAAAGCATGTAGGCTTAGATTAAAGAGCAGTGTGAGGATGCATACGTCAGGGTTGGTCAAGGGGAAGAGTGCCCGGGTTTTTCGGAATACGGGATTTGCGCTATTTGAAGGCCGTGATTCGGGATTTTAAAGCAAAATTGGGACGAGATTCCGGATTGAAAGTAACTGCACGGGATGCGGGATGCCGTAAATAACCGTCGGGTTATATACGGGACTGAGCGAAAATTTGGTTCGGGAGGACGGGATTGAACAACCCTATTGGGGCTCCTCAAGGGGGTAAGACATGTCCAGGATCGATCTTATTATCAAAAATTTGAACAAATATCTCAAAAATAACAAATTTAACAAAATTCTAGACTTAGAAAAAGAAGAAACCAATAAAATAAAATCGCAAATATAACAAGGATTTTTCTTACTAGCTAAAAACACCCATGACAAATATCGCAAAAATCGGAAAAATAGCAAATGTAACAAAATTCCAGACTTAGAAAGCAAAGAAGCCAAGAAGGGCCCCGAAATGTCCGCAAATATAGCAAACATCTCAAAAGTAACAAGGATTTTTCTTGCTAGCTTAAAACACCCGTGACAAATATCGCAAAAATAACAAATGTAACAGAATTCCAGACTTAGAAAGCAAAGAAGCCAAGAAGGGCCCCGAAATGTCCGCAAATATCACAAAAATCGCAAAAATAACAAGGATTTTTCTTGCTAGCTTAAAACACCCGTGACAAATATCGCAAAAATAACAAATTTAACAAAATTCTAGACTTAGAAAAGGAAGAAATCAATAAGGGCCCCGAAATGTCTGCAATTATCGCAAAAATCGCAAAAGTAACAAGGTTTTTTCTTGCGAGCTGAAAACACCCATGACAAATATCGCAAAAATCGCAAAAATAACAAATATAACCAAATTTCAGACTTAGAAAGCAAAGAAGCCAAGA